TAAATCAGAGCTAAAAAAGTGTAAAAACGCAGACAAATTTGCCTGTATTCTACTACAATCTAAGGGATATAAAAATTTTTTGTAACAAAAAACTATGACCAAAAATATATCTTCCTCTTTTAACAGATTTTTCATACTATTCACTTGCTAACTCTTTGTTTATAGGAGTTCCTATACTGTACTAACAACCAAGAATATTTTAAGCTTTCGTATTTCTATCATTAGCAGATTTTAAATACCAATTAAATGAATAAGAAAGATTCTTAATAACTCTATAACCATAATAATAACAATCACCAATATAATATTTTTCTAAACTAGATCCTTTAGTAGCAGATTTTAAAAATAATTGTAAAGCTTTTTGATGATTTATAGTTGTACTATTGCCAGATATATAAGAAATACTGCGAGATATTAATCCAATAATATGATTTTCTTTTAATAAATTAATTTCAATTAAAGAATTGTTGTATGATAAACAAGAATTGTCAGTGGCTTGTTTATATATATCAAATGCTTTAAAGTAATTAATAATTGTTTCAATTCTATATTCATAAAAAAAACCAATAATGCTAGTAAAGTAATATCTATATTGATGATTATAATATTAAATAAGAATTTCGTCAAGATTTTTATTATTATCCTTTATATAATTGTTTATATGATTGATAATAAATTTTGTACTATTTGTTAAAATTCCTTGTATATTAAATTGAGTTATAAATAATTGATTCAAATTATAAAGAAATTTCTGATCATTATTATTAATAATAATTTCTTGTTTCTTTGTAATGTTTGAAATAATTAAATCTGTTGATAAAATTTTTGATTTATTTGATATATTATTTTTTTGATCATTATCACAAAATATTATTTTTAATACTTTAATTACTGAAGAAATTATTTCTAATTCCTTTGATGTTTCTTTGTATAAATTGTTATAATATTGTAACAAATCTGTTGAATATAAACTTTTCAATATTTCTGAATTCTCTTTAAATTTCATATTCATGTTGTATTCTATAGAAATATTATTATAATCAATGTTATTATTCATTAAGTCTTTATAATCAATATTATTCAGATCTTTAAATACACACTGAATATTCAGTCATTTATTTGAATCATGTTGCCAACATTTTAAAAAAAACAAGTATATATATAATTTTTAATATTATAAAAAAAAAATATGCATAATTCTAGTATAATTAATA